TGATTTCATTTAATATGTATCACCATGGAGTCTATTTCATCCTAGCCTTGGACACCCACTTAAGGTCTTATTCAAATTCATCCCACCAACAAGACGTTTTCGTCTCAAATAGTAGAGCATTCCACATGTAGTTTTAATAGCAAACCTTGCTGTCCTGTTCGATTCCTCTTCTACCGTCATTAGCAATCAGAGAAACTACGGCTAGTTGGGCTTCCTTGGCCATCAAGTTCACTTATCCCAAATCACCGGCCTTCCCAAATCACGAACCCGGCCACTCTATAGCAGCTTTAGAATGTTAAAGATTAGAGCGTAACTACTTTGCAGACATCCTTTGGTGGTGTCCTTTTGAAGATATCTACAGAGCAGCATGCTCGAAGCACTATCATCATTCACCTCATGCAACCTGAATAAAGTCCTGCAACAAGCTCTTTGTGGTGAGAGACAATGCCAACCTCTCCACTGAGACCATGAGGACCCAAACTGGTTGAGCCACCTCCAGCTCTTTCTAATGGCCTCCTTTCTTTGGTGAGTCTTCGTCATTCCACACAGTTTTCCTCACTTTTATTGCATCCTTGCCAACCCTCCACCTGCTACTCTGCACATGTAGTGACTTTTTGGGTAGAAGAGCAGAATGGACTCCTCCCCCACAGTAGTGTGGGACAAGTTTCCTAGCAAGTTTCCATCCAAACAGTCGATGCCCTCCCATCTTCCCCACTCAGACTCAGGCTTTGCACTCCGAAAAAGGATGAACATGGCAGTGCCGCCGCTATGCGTTGTGGTAATAGAGGGCACAGTACAGCTGATGAAGTGTTTAGCAAAGTGCAAAAATTGTATAAGGAAATTTGCATACATAGAGACTGTTTGGGTCGGTGTTTGCTTGCAGATTTGTCCAACACTGCTGTGGGGGAGGACTTCCAGTGGACATGATGACTTCGGCTTTCCATTGTTTTGACCATTTCTGTTTGCTCCATACGTGTACTTGCCTTTTTTGTCCAGGTCAATGGTACACCATGGATACCTGCCGCGCTACGGTTCTTAATTTGCCTTTTGTACCTTCTGTAGGCAAAAAAGCAGCTGGGATTGCTCCAGTTTCTGGATCCGGAACTGTTTGCAGATCAGGACATGTTGACTACAGTGTTTCCTTCCACACAGTGGTGTTGTCTATCCTAGTACATTTTTTTAACCCCTACCCTCCCCATCTGTCTACCTGTGCTCATGTGCTGGCTTGAACAGAATTACCTTGTCAAGCTGACTTCCAGTGCCAGCCAGGTGTACAGGGTGCATGACTTTAGGCTGCTTCTGCTCCTGAAATCACAAGAGTTGGCAATGGTGACACCTTCAATAAGGCCTGTAGGAGCTTATTAGGCTAATTTTGGAAGGTCCTAAGCCCCATCAGATGGTTGGACAAAACTGTATCAAGCTATTGCATCAAGGTAATCAAGCCCCCTCATTAAAATTACATTCTTTACTAGCCCCGCATGCCCAGCATTCATCCCAGAATGATTCACTTACCAGGTATCAGCAATACTAGAATTGATGCCTCTAATGGGGCTGGATAAGACCCAAGGAATTCTGCTTTCAGTTGTGCCCCCTTGACTGCTTCCTCATGAAAATTGGTCCATAGCCTTCCATACAATAAGGTGTTGTGTCTGGTTTGTGCCAGAAATGGCACTTACTGTGAATTGCTGGCTGTGTGGTGATTGTGAGGCTCTGTACATATCATGTTTCTTGTTATTGGCCAGCCTCAAGTGATGTGATTGCACATTGAGTTGTCACAGTGCACTTAGCAGATGTGAAGAACTGTCCTAACTCCCTTCACAAAAGGTTTGCAGTGTTTTCACATCCTAAGTTTTGTTCAGTGGTGTTCCCTTGTCTGCTATTACACAAGGAACAACAAGGAATGAGCCACTCTGGTATTCCAACAGTGCTTGTCCTAAAATGAAGCAAGCCCAAGCTCATGTGAATGTTAGGTCTGCCCCATCAGAGCAGCCATAGTCGGACTCCTGTAGGAATTTGTTCCTGAATGACCTTTCTTTTTTTAATTACCAAACTTAATGTATTTACCAAAGACCTTCTCAGTATGCTACCTCATCCTACCTGCAGTCTGAGGGCAGAGTGGGGGGGGTATACAGCCCTCCAATTACTGCCCCAGCAGAGCCTGCGGAACCTCTTAGGGAACAACTCATTCTTAGGATAAGCACCATTTCTTTCTAGTGCATATGTACAGTAGGCCTGTGCCGGGTACCCAGGTACCCGCCCGTCGATTTCAAAACCCGGTTCCATTTTTCCGGGCCGGGTACCCGTAAAAAAGTAAATAAATTAGGAACAAACATCCATGCATAAAATGTCTGTGAAATTTCTTACTGAAGGGCAGACTTCCTGGAAAACCACCGTGCCGCTGAAAACCCGGTCCCGCGGTCATACATGAAACTTGAATTCAGAGATCGACAGCTAATTTTGTTACCCACTCCGCCCATTGTACCGCAAGTCGTTTTCCTAGTTCTGGAATTTGCTAGTTCACAAGAGCGAAAAAACCACTAAAATTCACGGGCGATAGGTCGCTCGCTACGTGTGATTTTAAATATTTCTTTAGATTGAATAGTCATATAAACCTTTGCATCTAATGTCTGCTTAATCAAAATGACTTTTTTAGGGTTTCCGTTTTTGTTAATTTAGCGAAAACTGCAATCTTTTCTCCCACTCTCGGATCGCGCAGCGTTACCACGCAAAGTTGTTGCAAACTCAACTACACGGACGCAGCAGAAATGTATGTGACGTAATGGGTTCGTCAACTGTGTGGCGCAGGGAGGATAACGTTGATAGCTCACTGTACAGTTTAAAAGTTGAGTCAAACCGTACGCAATTTCTACCTTTTTAATCCATTGGAATTCTTATTTTTCATCTAATTTTCTCAAAATTAAAAGATTCTTTATTAGAAAAGCAACTTTTTACAATGGTTTTGGCTGAAAATGAATTTTTCGTGTGGTTACTTTTTATTTGTGAAGACGTTTTTGTGTCGATCCTAAACCGATCCAGAACTAGGAAAGGTGTCATCATCACTTTCGTCGATCGATCCTGTGAGTCCAAATATAAAAGCTTAGATTTTGAAAAAAAAAATTGATGTATATCCAAAACACAAAGTTGACTTCTGACCATATTTCACTCGAATTTGAGGATTTTTTAGCTGCAGTCTTACTGAATAATTTTCGCGATGCGGAACTAGGAAAATGACTGTGCCAAACCTATATGAACAAGAGACCGAAGAAGTTTTGTCTTATGAGGGGGAAGCGCTGTTGATGTATACTTGCATGACTGTATTAGTAACTATCAAACCCTGTCGGCCTAAATGACTTTTGTGCAGAATAAGTAGTGCTTACTGTTTGAATTAAGATTATTTTT